ACAAATCCGATTTCTGTGAAATTTTAACAGACAATGAAATCCGAGTTCTTATAAAATTCTTATAAAATTTGATTCTCCATTTAAAGTCCGTTTACTTTTTTTTGTTATACATTACTATGATAATATTATATAATAATCAACTATTTAATTAAAGAACTTTTGTGTAAATGCTTTATAGACATTAATCCTAATTTCTAATATAAAAACACAATATTTATTTTTTGTGTAGACAAAATTAAATTATTTGCAAATATTAAATATAAAAATTTTCTTTTCTTTTCGAATATATATTGGTGTAAAGCTTCTTAGTCTGAGATTGAAATGCTTATAAACTATTTAAATTTTTGTGAAAATTATAATATTCTTTTTGTTTATAAAAGTAGCAGTGTCGAATATAGTGTAGGAATGCAGGAATAATCTAGAAGAGCTTCGCGTTTCTAAAAATAGATGCGACTCAAGAGCCGGATATTTCGACCTACTGCTCCTCACTTCGCAATGAATTAGCATCCTTTCTTTTTGTACTTATTTCTTAACTAGTGATATCTGATAACAAGTACGTCATCAGGATAAGATTGTAATTTTGTTTGGATGTAATCGTTTAGCTGCGGAAACTTTTTTATATTATATCGTTTATATTATACCTTTGATTACAGATAATTATTAAAATAAAAATTATTTTTATTATTTAAATATTAAATATTAAATTATTTAATTTTTATTAACTGTTTCCGTCAAAGAATCGCCATATTTGTAATTCTTAATCATGTTTGTTATAAAATATGCATGCTTGAAGCAAATATATTTTTGAGATAAGCATACTAAATAAAACTGTTTTTTTATGATTAATGTTATATTTGACATTGTTATGACGCAAGTGTTTAATATATCGAACTAATGTTGATTTTCAACGTAATTTGTAATGGCTATTTTTGTTCACATACTATAGGGCCATGTGAAAACATTCATGGAACTCACCCTCTGACGCAGCTCTCTCTCAGATTCCAGGTCATCCTGTAGTAGCCGGATTTTGTCCTGAAAAGAGAGGCAATGAGGATTAGAGGATATTACGGCGCCCGTTATAGAGGGTCGACGCTTTACGTAATCGTTCGACAAAAATACCCAAGAGCGGAGGCTCGGTATTTCGAAAAGACGGACGGCCTCCGTAGAATAGATTCGTCCTCGGGAGGAAGAGAGAACGATATCTGCGATGTCCGCTTAGCGCGCTTTCGAGCCGCTCGATCGAGATTATTTCAAGAAAGGCGCTCACGTTAGATTGCGCCGAAAAAGCAGCCAGGCCATTACTTGCAAGAGAAGAGAATGATCTTACTTGGTCATATAGGGTAGCTGTACGCTCACCCTTATATTTCTCTTGAGATAGAATTTGTCCTAGAAAAGTAAATCCTCGGATCCGAAGAAGAATTGATCAGAGTATCTAATGGATACACTATAACATTGGCGGATGATATATCTCGAAACGGTATCAATCTGGCGCCTTGGCACGATCGTCATTTTAGACCGATATTTCACCGACTATTTTCGTGCACGAGCAATCCGATAGCTACAGAACATCGTACACTTTGCTTCCTCATCGGATTGGCACTAACATCCTTTATGGTCACTGAACTTTCGCGGTTCACCACTTTCGTGATTGGTCACTGCTCGCGTTGTTCACATGTGAATCCATTTTGTATCACTGATAATCTTGTTTCAATGATGCACGGAAAATTTTGTTGAAACCTTAACTTCATTAAAATTTAACAGTTAATAGATGAAATTGTGCGTTTTCTTAAGAAGTGTTGAAGAACATCAATCGAGATGCATCTTCTTTTGTTCATCATCATGATATACGTGATAATTGGTGCGATATTAATCGAACGATTTAACAAATCTTAATTAATTTCATTTGAAGTTCTATTTAGCATTAACGTAATTTTTTGTAGTTGACAAAAAATAATTGTTCGTTTGATTTTTTCGAATGATAAGTAATTTTTCCTTATGATTTCGATGAGATATTGGAATTTCAAATTTTTGTATCTGTATTTCGAATTTGTAATTTGTGTAAAAGAAATTCTTGTAGAAATTTAGTTGAAAAGTATATTATAAATTTATCTTAATAGTTGTTAAGATGTTTAATTTATAAACTCTTCTAATTATCTAATTATTTTAGCCTTGTCAAATTTATTTTGTTTAATAATCTTTCCAATTGTTAATTAAATTTTTGATAGAGCAATAATTTTTTTATAATTAATTTTAAGTAACTCTTTGAGAAGAGATATTAAGAAGTAGATTTGTAAGTAATCTCATCCGAGTTATTCGTAATATAATTAATAAATTGCATGTAAAAATTTTAGTAATGAGTTATTAAGGTATGTCGATTTTTCTAATAATACATCTTTTTTTATCGTCGCTGTTGTTCTCTCTCCTACCGAAGGACATGTCAGAGGCACTTTTTCGCAGGACCTACCTCGAGTCTGCTGAGAGCGCTCAGGTCGGCGCTGTATTCGATGCTAACATCGGCAGTACCCGCACCGCCAGTAGAGCGGTACGTGTACTTAGAGGTCTTTGCAACCGCTGAAGACGACATCTTCCTCGCTTTGTCCTCTATTTATCTTTAACAATGCTCTAGTTCTTTTTGCACTTTGCGGGACTCCAGTCCTCCGATATATCCTCAATTTGGGCACCCTCCGCCTGTAAGGGCCTTTCTGTTCGCCTCTGGCTAAGTCAAATCGCCTCGGCCTCAGTCGTTAGTGGGTCCACCTCCACTTTCTTCCACGATCTTCTTCTTCTTCCTTCTCTTCGGGGTTTCGGAGCCGACCAGCGCCCTACTCGTAGTGCGCGACCCGTCGTCGTTCGTATGGCGCGCCGGCGGTTCCATGGCTTCGTCAAAATGACGATCGACGCAAGCGCATTGATGTCAGATCCCCACCAGGAACGTGGAATAGGTTCGTCATCGTCGTCGTTCTTGTCTTCATCATCGTTGAGAGGAACCACACTAGACGCCCACGTTGTCTAAAGTAGTTGCCAAATCGACTTCGGCTTGCCTGACCACGGCGATGCCCGGCGAAGATACCAAGCAGAAAATGTCGCTGTCTAATGATCTTTACCATTACATGAGCTTCAAAGTGTACTAAAGGATTATGTTCTTTAGTATCCCCTGATTTATTTTTTATTTAAATTAGTTTGTTACAATTGATTTTTGAAAATATGAATGAATTAGGTAATGATTTTTTAATTATAATTACCTGGATATTTTAAAGTGCTTGATTAATTTTATGTGTTTTATAATATATAATTGATTGCATTTAGAGAATTGATTTATAATCAACATAAAAATGATTGGTGATCTAAATATATCAACTAAAGTTTCATTCATCAGACAAATTTAAATGGATGTGATGAAAACATTTAAATCACACACCTCATTTGTTCTATCTCTTCCTAAAAGAATTCGTATAAATCTTCTACTGTTAAACTCAAATGTAACTCTGTGCTTTTCAATATTTAAATATTTTTAAAACAGATTTTTGTTTAATATAGGAAATAATCGCATTACATTATTATATTAACATTATAAGCACAATTATTTTGTATTTATAAAGATTTTCAATTACATTATTATAAGCCTAGATTATATATAAATCGGTTTGCGAACCGATTTAGTATAAATTATATTATTTAGTATTAATTATAACACTACACTTCAAAAAGAAGATTATATTAAGTGGAATACTTTTCTAATTCAAACATCGATGAAACAAGCTGCCAACTCATTCAGCGATCACTTTCACTTATAAATATAGTCGTACAGCAAAAGAAAAAATATCAAGCTATTAAGCATAGTCATCAGCACATGTCACAACACGTGCGGTTGTTTTTAGATCAAAGATTCATTCGTGAATAACTATAGTTATGTATACTATGACTGATATGGATATTTTAATACACTTATCGGAAGTGGGCGAAAGTTTCATGATAAAATTTTCTAGGTATATATTTTTTATATATATTTTTTGAAGTATATGTATTTCTCAATTTAATTTAAAATAATTTTGCAATATGTAGAATTATATGTGTAAATCCTTAATACGATATATAATATTATAATAAAATAAAAAAATAAAATAAGAATTTCATGAAAAAAACTTAACTTCAAATTAATTTAATTTTATATTTTATTTTATTTTGTTAATAAATATATATTATTTTGAATATAAATACATAAATAAGTGCATTTTACTAAAGTTATATAGTATAAATTATAATGATACTTCTTTTCATTTCTATTCTGCGTTTTATTGATTGAATTATCTATGAATTTATTATTTAAAAGTTCCTACTGATCTTGTTGTAAGCTCAAAGTCGCGCTAGATGTTTTAGTATTCACAGACGACATTGTTGACAATGTGACAACAAGAAATGCGAATACCACGCGTGGTTGAGCTACTACCAGATTGAATAAAGCAATGAAAGCTTCTACTATATTTAATTTTTTCTATTCTTTATTAAAATTATTAGAATTACAAAACGATTTTTCAAATTCCTTTCTTAAAGTTATACTTCAGAAACTCATCTTTTTGTAATAAAATTATGATTAATAATACCTTCTTTGAAATTTAATGTTAATTATATATATATATATGTGTGTGTGTGTGTGTGTGTGTGTGTGTGTGTGTGTGTGTGTGTGTGTGTGTGTGTATTATAATGTTAATCTTTTAACTTATCATATATAAATCTTAATGTTAATCTCTTTACTTATTATATAAATATTCTTCTTTAGAATAAATAAATTATAAGCATTTAATAATGTTAATTTAATACGCTATTTCTAATCCAAGAATTATCATATTTTATTTCTGAATTTACTAAATCATGAAAAATAATGCCGATTAACAATATTTTTTTTTAAATGCAGAGCATACTTTACAATATCTATCATATATTTACTCATGACTCACACTGGTAGAAGCAAGCATCAAATGTGAAATACTTGTATAGATATTTAAAATTTTTATTTTTATGTTTTATAGTTTGTTTGATTTCAGATAAGAGAAAGAAAATGAATTTTCTACAAAAAATGTGCTATAAATGAATACTCAAAAACATATTTTATTTGTTATTTCTGCAAATAAAAATCCTTTTATTCATTTTATTTTTTATTTTAAAGAAACTTTTTTCTATTAAAAAAATTAATTTTTCTCCTTAATGAACTATTATTATAATTATTATAAGGATTATGACACCCCTCTCCCCTTTTTATAATAATAGTTGATTAAGAAGAAAAATTTGATTAGTGCTAATATAAACAGTAACAAAAAAATAAAAAAAGGACATAAATAAATAAATATATATATATATATTGTAAACAATATATATGTATATATTTACCGTAAATAATTTTATGCTATTTTAATTGTGTATTAAATTATAGTTTTTATTTATTCCGTAAATTTATAAATTTAAGTTTTATTTCTTTTATACGTTTATATAAAAATATATTCTATGAAGTTGCAATCTTATTAAATCGATAAAATAAATGAGCATTGGAGTAAAAGGAATGATATACAATTTTTAATTTATTTCAGATAAATCGTCGTTAACTATTTTTTTAGGTGTTCAGCTCCGATGTTTTTGAATTTCCTTTTTTATTTTTACTATATTGCAATATTATTTCAATGTGACTTTCTCGTTTTATTCTATTTGTTTTATCGAGAAATGTAACCAATATGGCATTGCGAAGAGTGAAAATTACTTCATACTGTTTCAACATCTGCATTTCATCAAAATTTTCATTCTCCGGTATCGGTTAGAACAAACTCGCGCGGCAATTCCGGGTGCGTTTTCTTTTTCCGTCGAATTGCCAGTTTTCACACAATTTCCTCCCACTTTGCCCCACTACTGGTGAGTGTCTATAAAAGGTTGCTGGGCGATGGTGGGCAAAGATGCTTGGTCGGCCTAGCCCGAAGCTCACCAGTAATTTGAGATTGGCCCCTTCTCTATCTGTTCATCCCCTTCTTTACCTCTCGCTCTTCTTGAGTACGTGGCTCGCTCTAGTGGAGAATTCTAGTCTGAGAGAGGAGATGGCACATCGTCGGGCGAAATGCGAAAATAGCTTTTATCTGTTTCTCTTTCCTATCTCTTTCAAGAGGATAAGAGAAAGAGAGAAGAGAGCAGAGAGAGAGAGAGAGAGAGAGAGAGAAAGAGAAGAGAGAAAGATGCATCAACGCTTTTTCTCCTTCTAAGTCTCTTGTTTACTTTCTCTGATATATAATAATAAAAAGCAAATTTTATTTATAATCCTTTATATAAAAATTTATTTATTACATTTTTTTATTAATGTTTAATTATTATATTTTTTTCTCTACAATTCTAAATGTAATGATTTCAAATATAATATTTTTTAAATTCTATGTTTTATTTACATAATATTTTAATAATTCTTTTTTTAATTGATATGTTATTTATTTACATAAAAAGTTTTAGTTGGATATTTCACTTTATTATTCTTTTAAGTCATTAAAATTAACACATTGCTCCAATTTCCTAAATTTAACTTCTCATTATAATTTCTTTCAATTTTTAATCAATTAAATTTCCGTATATTACATAAAAAAATTTCACCTTTTTATCTTTTATTAAAAAATAAAAGAACATACACATTTGAATCCTTGATATTTTATTATTCTAATATAAATGTATCATATTTTTATTATTATTTTAAGAACTAAAAAATTTTTTCTTAACTCATTAATGTACACATTAAGTTTAATGTACACAAATTGCATTTGTTGCATATTTACATTTTTGTTTATAGACGTTTAAGAAACTTTTTGTATTTAACTTATTTTTTAGGGGGGAAATTTTAACATACTAATAAAGTATTCAAAAGTGCTTGGATATAAACTTTTGCTTTATTACTTGAACATTAGTGCATAATAAATATGATTATATACAAAGTGGGCAAAAAATATATTTTTTAGTTTGTTGCAATTTATTAATATCGTGTTCCATTTTCATATTATAACATAATCTTCTTGCTATTTCTTGCAATTCTGCACCTGTTATGCATTTCATATATAATTATAGAGATTATTGATTCAAAATTTAGGAAGAGGACAACAGGTGGCTTTTTAAGTGACAGCTTGAAATTTCTTATTAATGATGAAGCCTAAATTTACCATAACACTTGCGATTGCATCTGGTTAAGAAAATCGAAATTTGATATAATTACACTTCGTCCTATCATTAATTCATATTTTGCAATTATGTAGATTTGAATTGTAATAAACATTAACATAATTATATTAAAATAATATGTATATAAAAGTTATTAACGACTTTTTCTTTGTTGTATAAAGATAATTTTAGAAAATAGTTTTATAATTATACAAAATAACTGTATACTGTTATAACAATATAACAGATCTATCTTGTTTTTAAGATATAAATCGATTTGCTGACTTTTAATACGTAATTTGTAATTTTGATCGCAATTTGCATATAACTGTGCTAGATACAATAATTGAGCATGAAAGATGACTTTTATATAAAATTATTATGTTAATCTTACTTTTAAAAAATTCTAATAATCCTTAATACAAAATACATTTATTGGATTATAATAGGAATTAAAGATTATTTATGTTATTGAATAAACTTTTAGCGTTTAACATAAAGTATTAATCTTTTATATGAAAATTTGATTTATTAAAACATTCGCAATTTTCGGTAACGTTGATTCATCGTCCAAAATTATCACAAAAAAACACAGGTTAAAGTTTTTCGACATTGCTGCAGAGATTCGGGATGACTAAGTCGCACTATTCTTGTCTGAATAATACTCTTCTATATCCACTGAGAAAGTAGGCTAAGTGGTATAAAATATC